CAGCCTAAGCCGCAACCCGTCTCGGCCAGCAAAAAAAAAAATTCATGTGTGATTTGGAAATAAAATCACATACTCGGGATCAACCGGGATTCTGCACGATATCAAGCAAATTCAGTCTTACTCCCTAGTCAACTCAAACACATCCGTAGACTCAGGAGTAGGGGGGACTGGTGACAGGATAATGGTGCTGGCACCCGACCCGGATCATAAGCAGCATCTAACCCGACACCACATGGAATGGTGCTGGCACGTGACCCGGATCATAAGTAGCATCTGACCCGACACCACATGGAAACCCAACGGGCAAAACTCCAACAGGCAGAATTCCAACGGCTGTCACCTTTACTTCCACTGAAGCCACCATTGATGTCACCATTGATGAGAGAGAATTAAAGGCTTAGCTCCTCATGTATGCTTCATGTTGTTACCGTTAGCAGTTTTTTTATAAGTAGGGGTTCCCCTCAGCTTGGAGGGGGACGTTCAATACTCTGGACAAAGACACTGTATTTTCTATACTGAGACAAAAACAATACAACTATTGTTACTCTCTCTCATAGCGTTATTATAATATTATTATTACCGGTAACATTATTACCGTCAACAGCAATGATACGTAATTAATTTTTCGTGAAATAATTGTAAATATATAAGTGTTAGTTTTGTGACTATTGGGCTAGTCAACGGTAAACCAACACTACGGTAAATTAGTGAAAATAAATTGATGGGTTGATGAAAATTTTGATAAATGATAAAAGAAAGCAGAGGAAAAATGATAAAATGATGATTATGAGATCAGGTGGGAGAAATGGAGAAGGAAGGAATGGCCTTAATTGGCTTGGATTAGCCTCTCTGGCTTCGAGAGACATTTGATCTTTGGGAATATAATATTTAATATTACATCAATAATTCAATGAATATAATATTACATTAATAAGTCAATAATAAACTATTATAATATTCTATTCGATAATAATTTTGATTGAGCTGTAATTCTGACTGGGTTGTGTATATGGGCTAGGCCGCCTTATATTTTGGGGCTTTACTCTTATGGGCCTTAGTACCATATCTAATAAGAGTAAATTACACTTTTGGTCTAATGACTATTGGGGTCTTGTTAATTTCAATCCATTACCTTCAAAATTAACAATTGAGTATCTTAACTATTCAATTTTTATCAATTTTGGTCATCCGGACAAATTGCCGGCGAAAAAAGTGACCAGAAAATTTTAATAATAAAATAATGAGGACATTTTAGTCTTTTGCTTCTACTATGTTCTTCTTCTCCCTTTTTTCTCTTCTACGCCGCCGGAAAACCTCTATTCCGGTTCGAGTTTGGAATTCGGGAATGTTACGCCGACTCCCACAGCTATGGAGAGCGTGGTGGAGTTTGAGAGTGATGAGTTTTCGGTGTTTAGTAAGCGCGGAAGAAGATGATTGGCTATGGAAGATCGGTACTCGACTAAGGTGAAGATTTATGTATTGGAAACCGATAAGATGAGAAGGATTGAATATGAGCCTCCAAGCACAAGGACGGAAAGATGTTGAGGGTAGGTGGTTAGTACGAGTCAAGCAAAATACTCTTTCCTTAAAACCTTTTTTACCGCCTCCCAAAAGTGGTAGGAGCGTTGTGGTCTAGGCTTCCTATGATAAAACGTACTACGATTCCAAGTTCGAGCACTCAAACAATGGAACCCGACTAACTAGAGCAATGAAAGAACAATTAGTTGGCTAAGAAAGAAGTAGGAGCAGAGTTTTTAGGGAGAAAACATGATTTTCTTGTTGTTTCGTTGTGTGTAAATTTGCTGCTCTACTGTCGATGAGAACTGATAGAATTGTATTGAATGAACGTAATAACAACTGTACAGACTGAGGGAATATATACAAGATGAATTATAAGAAGACTAGGAATGGGAGTCATAATGTGACTCAAATACAAAGAGTCCTAATACTAGTCCTAATACTCCCCCTCAAGCACATGGTATACTAGTAACATGTAGCTTGACTCTAAGAAAAGAAAATCTAAGACTAGGCAAAGTTTTAGTAAATATGTCTGCAAGTTGATCTTTTGTTGAGATGAAATTGACATGAATATCTCCAGCAGCAACTCTATCTCTCACAAAATGATAGTTTATCTCAACGTGTTTGGTACGCGCATGAAAGATGGGATTAGCACACATATACGTAACCCCAAGATTGTCACACCTCGCAGAAGTCATATACGTAGCCCCAAGAAAGATTGTCACACCTCGCAGAAGTCATATACGTAGCCCCAAGATTGTCACACCCTTACAGCACGTTTGGTTCACGGAATGAATTTTGAGGTAATAGGAATGCTATTCCATAAGGAATGGAATAGGCAAGGAATAGAATAGGAATTGTATTCTATTGTTTGGTTCGCGGAAGGAATAGACTTTAGGAATTATATTACAGTGTTTGGTTGATTTAAGGAATAGAAATGAAATATGTTTTAAAAGACATAAATACCCTTATAAAAATATGTGATGGTGACGATGGTGGTGGTGGTGGTGGCGGTGGTGGTGGTGGTGGCGATGGTGGTGGTGGTGGTGCTGGGGTGGTAGTGGTGGTGGTGGCAGTGGCAGTGGTGGGGGTGACGGTGGTGGTGGTGATGGTGACGGTTGTGGCAGTGGTGGTGGGGGCGGCGACGGTTGTGGTGGTGGTGGTGGCGGTGGCGGCGGTGATGGTGGTGGCGGTGGTGGTGATGGTGGGGTGGTAGTGGTGGGGCGGCGGCGGTGGTGGGGGCGGCGACGGTTGTGGCGATGGTGGTGGTGGTGGTGGTGGCGGTGGCGGCGATGGTGGTGGTGGCGGCGGCGGCGGCAGTGATGGTGGTGGTGGCGACGACGGTGGTGAAATAGGATAAATTTATATATAAGATAAAAAAATTAGGTTAAAGAAATGGTAAAAAAGAAAATAGATTCTAAAATCTATTCCTGAGCGTTCAGTAATAGGCTAATACCGGGGGGCCCTAGTAATAGCTATTACCTTATTTGAGGTAATAGGCTATTACCAGGAATATTCCTGGTAATAGAAATGGTTACCAAACAAAGGAATATTACCTGGTAATAGAAATGGTTACCAAACAAAGGAATAGTAATATTCCTGGTAATAGAAATGGTTACCAAACAAAGGAATAGGTCTATTACTGGGAATGCTATGCCATTCCTGGCCTATTTCGTGAACCAAACGGGCCATTAGTAGAAGAGAAACACAGCAAAGTCGGCAGCGGACACACTGTTATAGACTGTTGAATTTTTCAACTTCGTAAGACTAAATAGGGGCATTTCGAGAATCGAAATCAAGACCTCTCGCACCCGAAGCGAGAATCATACCACTAGACCAAATGCCCAATGATATTAACAAGGGTTGGGAATGGATCATACTAGCTGATCTTTTTGTATGATGAGACAAAAATTTGAGTATCAAATTATTGTTTACTTACTGATATTGAAATCAGAACTCATGAAGGCTTTGTCAAATCGACAAAAACTACTAAACTACCTTACATTAATTTTACCAAAATTAGTGTTGAGTTTATAAGATATTTACTGTGCCTTTTTGTTGTAATCAAACCGGCGATAATATTTGATTTTAAAATTATAAAAGAGTTGTATACAGTTACAATATAAGCCACATGAGCATATATATGCTACAAAACTAATTCTCTAGCAAAATGTGAGATGTGCAACACCGTATTTAGTTGACTAAAACAAACAATTGAGACTTGAGATGCGGAAATTCAGCTGTTGCCCGGTGAGATTAGCTCAGTTTGTTTAATCGATCACCTTAAAGTCTTACTTTAACTTCCTATCTAATCCCCTAAAACACCTACGTACAACTTGCATATTCAGCCACCTCCTTGAGCGGAGAAGTGAATAGTATACGACTTCCATTCTTATCATCTGGAAAACATCCTTGCATACTATCCCAAGCAGTAGAGCTCCATATATCGTCTATAATTATCAAATATCTTTGACCCATCAAGTGTTTACGTAGACTCTCTCTGCCAAGTTTCCATTTGATGTTGCATTAACACAACCATAAGGCATTGGAGTATTTGTTCTACGTTATACTCTTGAGATACAGTAACCCATGCTTGTTTGTCAAAATGAGAAGTAATTGATGAATCTTTATAGAGTTTCCGAGCTAATGTGGTTTTGCCAATTCCTCCCATGTCTACAATTGATACAACTTGTAACTGTTGTGCAGATTGTCGGGTGAGCTGATCCATTATCGTCATGAACTCCTCTTTGCATCCGACCATTCTTATGTCAAACTTTATTGAAGCGTTTTTGCTTTATTGAAGATTCCATGAAGCCTGAGGAGGCAAGCAAGATGCTTCATCCAACCCCTTGCTGGATAAATGGTAGTCAACTCTATCTCAATCCTTTCTTCAGCTTTGAACGCTACATCTCTGATCTGAGCTGAGCCTCCAAATCTTTCATCGCCGAATTATCATAGCCATAGGCGATCTCATATTTCTCAAGAATTTCTTGGAGTAAAATAAGATTTTCGTGGAGAGAAACTATTTTGTATATATTGAAGAGGCAAGCGTGGTACGGTTGTGGTTGCAAGAAATGTTGAGAAAGTGTTTCCATAAGCAAAGTTACAGTAGCATATGCCATTTGCGTCTGTCTATGAGGTAAGATGATCAGAGCAGTACTAAGAAAAAATGAAAGATGTATGTGATACAATTTAGACAGCAATTCTCCTGTCAATGCTAAAGTCTAAACAACCATTGCATGATTTTAAAATTAGTGCAGTAGTTGGTTACTTTTTTTTTTTTTTTTTTTGAAGGCTTATTGTGAAAAGAATCCAAACCTCACAATTATATCCAAAATTTTAAGTTTTTTTATAATTTAATATCAAATATTCGTATCCTATACTATAACAATTATGTCCAATTATTTTAATTAAAAGAAAATTGCAATTTTAGTCCCTTAATTTTTCCTTGCTAGTGATTTTATTTGTCCCTAATTTTTTTGTCGCTACAATATACACCAAACTCTTCAAAAAGCTAGTTACAATTTGAATCCCTATAGCAACAAAACAATTAAACTCTATTATCATTTTGGATCTTGGGGCTCATTGAAAAGTCTCCTTGCTATCTTCGACAGTTTTGAGAGCGAGGGCCAAGTCGAACTTGCTCTCTTGCCACGCCTTTCACTCACTCGCTTGAGGAAGGAAAGAAAGTAGCTAGCTAGAGGCTATGGAATTGGATCGAACGAGAAGGACGGGATTGGGTTCAGTTAAGCCGTTAAGGTAAGCTAAAGGGTTAAAACTTAATTCCTATCGAGCTTGCATCTTAGTACGCAAAGTCATTATATATACTTAATTAGTACATAAATATTTTAGTACTTTTTAATATTTCTTCTTTAAGTATAATCTTATTAAGTCGATCTCAATATTTCATTTGTAAAATAAAAAATATATTTTAACATGATCGTGTAAGGAAAATAGGGACGAAGTGACATAATTGAAAAGAAAAATTTTAGGCAAGAAAATTGTCAAATCTCTATTTAACAAAGATAATAAAATTTAAAATATCCATATATTAAGTAAAATTATAATAGAGTTTAATAGTTTTGTTACTCGAGGAGTTAAAAATTCAATTTTTTTTAAAGAGTTAATGGTGTATATTACAACAGTAAAAAATTAGGGACTAATATCGCTAGTAAAGAACATTTGAAGGACTTAAATTTTATTTTTTTCCTTCAATTAACATTACAAATAATTTAACTCTTTTGATTTAGATATTAGTTTGGACTTTGGTGGTCATAATATTTAAATACAATTATATGTAGGGAAAATTATATTTTGGATTATTGAGTTATACCATACAGCCCTAAATTATACGCATGTCAATCTTTGTCCTCTCAGTTTTGACTAAAGCGACGTTTTTTTTTTTTTTTTTTTTTTTTTTTTTTTTTTTTTGTGAATACTATTAACTCTATTATCAACCTTTTGAATTAAAGCACAGAGAGTCTATTCGTACGGGCTTAGCTCAATGATTTAGTGGACAGTATTTAGGAGAAAAGATCAAGGTTTGAACCTCGACGGCGGCAATGTGGGAATTATGTCTAAAGTGGGCTGCTCAACCATTGAGTCACCGTGACTTACAACCGTTGGACTACAAAGTGACGTTTTTAGTCCCTCATAGACAGAGGCTTCTCACAATTTTAAGCACAATACACTAACAAGGCGTTTGGTTGGAGCGAATTTAAATTCCATTCCCCACTTAATTCCCATATAATTCCAAAAGCAATAAAATTCCTTAGTTTGGTTGGAAGGAATTGCAATTCCCCCATTTTCATAGAATTAAAATCCCATGTACCCCCCCCCCCCCCCCCCCCCTGAATTTTAATTCCTAGGATTTTAGGAAGAAAAAAAGTTAGTGATGAGACAAAATTATCCCTCCCCTTTTTTAACCTAAAATTAATACCACAACTAGAATGAACATTTTGAACTTTATACTACTTATTCCCTTTCAATTCCCATGTATACCAAACATTGGAATTGAAATTTCCAGTAATTCTATTCCGTAAACCAAATACTGAAATTTAAATTCCCACTTTATTCTCATGTAATTCCCTCCCTCCAACCAAACGCCCTTGGTAGGGAATATCCCAACCGACATAGCTTCACCACGACCGAGGAGCCTTTTGTCCTTTTCTCTCTGTCTTTGCAGGTAACAGGTCGGGCTCCTTGAGAAGAACCCGGTCGGGAACCGACCGGGAGTTGCCCAAGCGATGGTGTCAACCCCGAGCGGTAGTCCTTCGGCGAGAGAGCTGACTAAAGACACGTGGCGGCTCTTTACATCGACAGGCAGGGCACCCAGGAGGATGGCACGTGGTGGCTACGTGGAAGACATGCCGAGCAGCTGGGATCTTGTCTCCGGCACAGCGGCTATAAATGCCCACAGTAGCTACAGTGTAGGGGACTTTTGGACGATCGATAGGTTGTTGTTAGAGAATCCCGACCGCAGTCAGTCGGTACTCAGAGCAGCCAAGTAGATTGTACGTAGGGCCTTTACCGGGATCAATAAAGATTTTACTTGCTTTAATTGGTCTCGTGTTATTTATATTGCTTACGTAGAATTAGCAGTATCATTTTGGCGCCGTCTGTGGGGATCCGTGCAATAAGCCAACGTCTTGACGAGCACCCGATCACCATACCAACATGTATCCGTGGGCACGCAACAACTTTGCTGACGACCAGGCGGATGCGGCGAGCTCATCCGACCACCATGCTACCCAACAGCAAGGTCAAACGGTCGACCTCAACCTCAACCTCTCGCCACCGCATCCATCGAATGCATACCCGGCTGCCCAACAGCCGGTGCAGTACATCCAACCAGGTTACCAGCAGCCCGGTCAGCAATATCAGCAACCGATGCCTCAGATGGTCTATCCCGGTCAGTATCCATACCCGGTCCCACCCCAACCATACGGGTATTGGCCAGGCCAGCCGGTATATTACACACCACCGGTCGGTTACGCGCCGTACACACCTGCGTACACGGCTCCAGCCGCCGCCCCTCCAGTATACCCGGCCGCTCAGGTAGAGCCGCAGCATCAGCCCACTTCCCGGGCTCGACGCTCGGCTCGTTCGCGGTTGGGGTCGGGGGGTGCTGTTGCGATGGAGGCGTCGCAGGCCCAGCAAGAAGGGGAAGCTCCTGCCCGAGCGGAGGATCCTGAGGAAGTTGCCCGAGCGGTAGCTTTTGACCGTCTTCGACCGGAAATGCGGCAGAGACTGGGACCCCAAGATCCAGATCGCCGGTTAGAAGACGCGCAGATGCAGGAAGCCAGCCAGGAGGCTTCATCTGGGCACAGCGGGTCGAGATCTCACCGACGGCGACGCGCTCGGGATACAGCCCAAGCCGCCCAGAACGCCGAGCTCAACGAAACCCGAGGATTGCTTTACAACCTCCAGGCGGAAGTTGCGCAGCTCAGGAGTGCATATCCTACAGCACCCCCGACCGACCGATCGACCCTCCACCAGACGCCTTTCACAGCAGCGGTAATGGCTCAGCCTTACCCGCTCGACTTAAAGGTCTCGGGAGAGAAGAGCTACGACGGTCGGACAGATCCTGAGGCTCACGTGAATGATTTTTTCAGCAATATAATGCTGAAGGGCGTTTCAGACGCCGTGATGTGCAGGGCCTTCTACTCAACCCTCACCGGTCGGGCGGCAGAATGGTTCCGAACCCTGCAGCCGGGGTCAATCGACAAATTTGAGACCCTGGCGATCAAGTTTGTACGGAAGTTCATTACTTCCAAAGTGGTGAGGAAGTCCTATATGTACCTCGAAAAGGCCAAGCAGCTCGAAGGGGAAAGCTTGACCGACTTCCTCGTCAAGTGGAAAGCAGCGGTCGGGGAGGTCGAGCCCATGGATGATGCGACCGCCACTCACATGCTTCATATCTCCCTCCGGGCGGGGCATCTATATCAGGATTTTATCCTTCACCCCCCGACCACATATGAGGAGGCCCTCCGAAGGGTCACTGACTATGCCAACGCCGGCGAGGCGAACGCCGTCAAGCGCTTGCAGGAGGTCGGCTCCTCGTCCCGTAAACCGGCCGGCCGGGCGGAACACCGATCGGGAGATGACAATCCCCGACCCCGCACCAGGCACGGCGAGTTTACGGCCTTAAACCGATCCGCCGCGGAGGCCATGCAGTACGCCCAGTCCTGCAATCTCATCAAACTCCCCCATCCCGATCGAGACGGCCCTGATAAGAGTAAGCATTGTGCTTACCATCGATGCGCCGGGCATGACACCGAGGAGTGTACCCACTTGCGCCAATTGCTGGAAGATTTGCTCAATTTGGGAAAATTGGACAAGTGCGTAGGGAAGAGAGAGGATAGCAAGAGAAGTACCGATCGGAGGGATCACAGGCGATCTCACCACCGCTCTGATCGGTCGGGTCAGGACCGAAGAGACGATCGAGGGGACGATCGTCACGATGACCGACGGGACCTTGACCCCCCATCTGGCAGCCGACCATCCGGCAAGCCCACCATCCATGTCATATTTGGTGGGCTAGAAGATGCATCTCGATCGAGGACGAACTGCCCGGTCGCGATCGTAGATTCTCGGGAGACCGGGAAAAGACAGAGGATGGAACCCATAACCTTCACCCTTGAGGACCAACCTAGCAGCAGTGACCACGGCATGGAAGCGCTCGTGGTCACAATCGACGTCAAGGGAACGGACGTCCAGAGGGTTATGGTGGACACGGGTAGCAGTGTGAACGTCCTATACTTGGACGTGTTCGAGAAGCTTGGCCTCGACAGGAAGGAGCTGACTCCGGTCGGTGTACCACTGTCGGGATTTACCGGGGCCCTCATTTACCCCGAAGGCAAAATCACTCTCCCGGTCGAGATCGGCACCCCCCCGAAGTCGATCAAGACAGAGCTTGAATTCGTTGTGGTCAACCTCCATTGCGTCCACAACATCATCCTAGGCCGACCCGCCATCATGAAGATCGGTGGGATAATTTCCATGCCCCATCTCTGCATGAAATTCCCCACCCCCAATGGGGTCGGCGTGGTCCGTGGCGATGTCCAGTCCGCCCGGAAGTGCTACACCCGAGCGGTCAACAGACGCGATTCCGGTCCGTCTTCCCGGGTGAATACTATAGCCAAGGAAGAGGCTAAAGAACGGAAGGAGCAACCCGAACCTTCCGAGGAGATAGAAGAAGTTCCCCTGTCCGAGGACCGCCCGGACAGGAAGATTAAGATTGGCCGAGCCCTCACCCCCGAGCTCCGGGCAGAAGTCCTGGCTGTACTCCGGGAATACGCTGACATCTTTGCGTGGGAGCCCGAGGACATGCCCGGGATCGATCGATCGGTCATTTGCCATAAGCTAGCCGTCGATCCCGCAGCGAAGCCGGTCGTGCAGAAGACACGACACCTATCTTCCGATCGCCGCGAGTTTGTCAGAGAGGAGGTCAAGAAAATGGCGGCGATCGAGCACATCCGCCCGGTTATTTACCCCGAGTGGGTGGCAAACATTGTTCTAGTTCCAAAGCCCCCAGCTTGGAGGATGTGCATAGACTTCACGGACCTCAACAAGGCCTGTCCGCTCGACCCGTATCCATTACCGAGCATTCATCAAATGGTCGACGAGACGGCCGGGGCCGAGTTGATGAGCTTCATGGATGCCTTTAAGGGGTATCACCAGATTATGATGCACCATGAAGACGAAAGCAAGACAGCCTTCGTGACCCCGGACGGGCTGTATTGCTACCGAGTGATGCCGTTCGGCCTCCGGAACGCAGGAGCGACCTATCAGAGGATGGTCAACATGCTTTTTGCCGATCTATTGGGCCGAACGATGGAGGCCTACATTGATGATATGCTGGTCAAGAGTCGGGACCGG